AGCAAACCAGAAGGAATCCGCAGCTCCGACACCTGGCAGACTTTGCGTGTAACACGTAACTCGCTTCGGAACAGATTAATTCAAAAGTCAAGGCAGAGCCCTCTAAATTGAAATTGCCCTGAGACGCTTGAGAGACGTCTGTATTAGTTGCACAGCCACCCGCTCCTCTGCGCCATGTCGTTAACTTGAGCGTCGAAGAAACTGGTTATTCTCTTTTTTACGCTATAAACGCACTGGTCTTCAAATCCCAGGTAGTGAGACCGCTCACGGCCACGAAATGTTCAGCCAGCAGACCAAGTCTCAGAGTCACCCTGTTAATTACACACACACTCATGTCGTCTCGAAAGATGTATCAACTGCAGTACATATTTCCGAGAAGGTTAGCTCTCATCCGTAATTTCATGAATTTGTAAAAGCGGGAAAGTTCTGTTCCGCTCCTGCACGGCCTCGCGGAAAAATGTTGCGATAGTAGCGACTGCCACTTCGTCCATTTTCCTTTCCGTCTTTTCGTGTCCTCTTGCCCCTGTCCGACTCTACACAAAATCCACGCTTGATACAAATCACTAAAAGTGTTGCGAGTAATCAATTGATTGATCATCGTCCGCTCTTACGATTCGGGAGAAATAGGACTCTAGCTTTTTCTTCTGGTGACACATGTCGAGGTTGCCAACGGGCAGATGAAAGTGCAGTTTCATAACACACGCAGATTAGCGGCAGAATCCTCGCCGGTCCAGTGTCACGCGTGGCACTGTTAATGAGTCCGGAGCCAATGCGGTCATCAGGGCAACGGGAAGTCTCATGATCGGTGGTCGAACTCCGGTCAGTCATCTCAGCAGTAAACTATCAGCGGGTCTCGATCAGAAGTGACGAGTATTCGTCCTTGGTGAGAAGCTGATGGTCGCTCAGGTAGTCGCTTCAGTATTTACCACTGAGCTGAGTCTCTGGAGTGCACTCGCACCGGATGTGACGTTCGCTGTTACGCGGAAATGTTTCCTTTTCCAGTGAGAACGTGAAATCACTCAGTAGAGATAGCACACTGGACCTCTCAAGGGATCACTTGCGATGAGAGGCAGCAAAAATCTTAGTACCCCTACGCCTAGTCCCCCAATTACAGGCCTCAAGAGTAGGTTTAAATAGCCAGCAATCTGTATCGAAACGAGGACCTTTGTTCGAGTCTTCTTACCGTCTGAATCTTCTTCAAGACTATAAATGCCAGGCCTAAACAAGTAGGGCTTTACAAACAAACAGAAGCGCCTAACCGAGGCGATTGGACGCCAGTTCCTTGGCGTTTAGGCATGGGCTCGATCTCAGGGCGGGTACATTTTTATATTGCGGTGTAAAGGTTATTTTCAAAGTCCACCGATGCCGCTGCGCACGCGTGTACTATGCGTGCGACAGGCCCGGCCAGCCGGAAGGAGTTACACCTGCAACCACGCATGCGCGCTGATACGCCAATTCCCGCAGCCAATGCACCTGATTAATGTCTGTGCGGGGAACAACCCGTGACCTCTGCATCTTAACTTGGCTTTGTAACAAAATGCAAGGCAACGCGTGTTCGTCTATGATGATGATGATGATGATGATGATAATGATGATGATGATGTGCTAGGCTAAGCGAAAACACATGCGCCTACTTCAAGAGAAGCCAGCAAGCGGGGCACATACAGAAAATACTAATATGTCTATAGGCGATGTTCTCGTCTTATTATCAGAATCAAAATATGTAGATAACTGAAGGAATATTCGAAGATGTGGCAAATTTTAAGAAATTAGGCCAACAGAAACAAGTCAGGATAAAAATCACTATGAACGCAAGAGCAGATTGAAATTCTGTCACCGAATTCATTTTAAAATCTTCTCTCTTACTCTGCCCGATCTATAAACTCAAATATTAAAATAAGTTGATATGAAACTATAATTTTACTTCAATTTTCTGACGAGAGTGAAACTTCATCTGTCGTCTTTCACTGTGTGAAAAAAAAAGCAACTCAGCTGAGGATGTCTGAGATGGGTCCGGCGAGGAAGGTCTGTGGGCGGAAGACGACATAAAGCCTACTTTGTAAACATATCTCGGTCTACTGGCCTTACAAACAGGATATTCACACAAATAGAAATGTAGGTAGATAGCGGACTGTCTCTTTTGGGCAACTGATTTGAAATTAAACAGTCGTTTTCATACATCACTTTTGCAGTAAGACAAGAATTTGGATATTAGATTTGTCACTACGGAAAGAACTGTCATAGACCATGCTGAAACAAGTTTACGCATCATCAGATAATGGAAAGTGAGCTTGATATGACAGCCACGGGCATTTCGGGCGACCAAAAGCTTCCCCGTTTCTGACAACTACAGATTACTACTTCCCCCTCAGATTATGTTCAATCTAGCACAAACTATAAATAATAATTAATATGCCTAGTCATATAATTTAATGGGCCTTGTCTGCAAATGATGCCCACTAACCTACAGATTTGCCACAGGCCTACAGGTCGTCATGTCTACTACGACTTAGACACAAGCAGATGTTGAACATAGCCTACAGTTTGTATGTACGTGACACAAAACTTCACATGCCTAGATCCAGCAGTTTGTTAGTTTCCACTATCCAGAAGAATTTAAAATATAAAATCCCCCCCCCCGCGATTCCATATTCTACCAGAGAAGCGTTTGACATGAACAAAATACGGACGTTTCTCAAAGATAATTTTTCTACTTAAAATTCGACATTAAGTGGCGCTAGTTGAACCCTCACCACAGAAGTCTGCACAGGCGCCATATTGTTATTACTGAGACGGGATCTAAGGATTAGATACGTTTATTCTTCTGTAGCGACAGAATATTCCAATATTAAAATATATATTAAAAGTTACAGTCACTCACAATTAAAATAATAAAATAATATTAAAAGATTTAAAACATCATTTAAATACACTACTAGTTTCGGCTACATTCAGCCATCGACGGGTGTATGCTGTATATATTTTAATATACGAATCACAATATGACGCAATTGCAATATCTTAGAATATTCCAAGTCTCACGAAAACCCGTCAACCGGATCGAAACAAGAGGACACAAAGGCAGCCAGAGCCTCGACATCCGGACTGGCGAAACAGCCTCCGTCTTCTGCTTAAGCGAAGTAACGCGCGAACTGGACAAAACAGACCTGGTCATGAAACTTCGGGCCCCGTAAACGCGGGAAATTTTTTCAACTAAACTACTGTGTACATTTCAAGAATAACGCTGCACCGCACAGATGGTTATCTGCTGAGTTACCGAAAAAATTGCTAATCTGTACCTAGGGACCGGTTAGTTTTCCGTTGAGTCTTTGGAAGGCAAACAGTTCAATGACTTTCCTTTGCACAGTGCAAACGTGTGACCGGTCTAGCCTTTAGGGGTGGAAATACGGTTCTGGGGTAGTCTGCTGCACCCCTCAGGCATGGGGAGGCGGGGCCACGCTACACA